GTCCCCAAAGTGTCCCCAGAGTGTCCCCAGTGAGTCCCTAGAGTGTCCCCAAAGTGTCCCCAGAGTGTCCCCAAAGTGTCCTGAAAGTGTCCCCAGGGTGTTCCCAGAGTGTCCCCAAGGTGTCCCCAAAGTGTCCCCAAAGTGTCCCCAAAATGTCCCCAGAGTGTCCTGAAAGTGTCCCCAGAGTGTCCCCAAAGTGTCCTGAAAGTGTCCCCAGGGTGTTCCCAGAGTGTCCTGAAAGTGTCCTGAAAGTGTCCCCAAAGTGTCCCCAGGTTTGTCCCCAAAGTGTCCCCAAAATGTCCCCAAAGGGACCTCGGGCTCTGTCTCTGTCCCCAAAGTGTCCCCAAGGGGCTGAGGGACCTCCAAGGTGCCACCAGCAAAGGGCCTTTGGGGCCTTTGGGGCCTTTGGGGCCTTTGGGGACACTGGGGACACATTGGGGACATCAGGGGGACACTGGGGACATCAAGGGGACACTGGGGACATCAGGGGGACACATTGGGGACATCAGGGGGACACTGGAGAGTGAATGGGGACACTGGGGGGTCACTGGGGCCACCCCGGGGCCAGCAAGAGCCACCAAGGGCCACCCCAGGAGGAACCAAGGCCACCACGAGCCCACCAGGGGCCACCCCGGGGCCACCAAAAGGAGCCAGGGGCCACCAAAGCCACCGAGGCCACCAAGGACCAGCTCCAGGAGAAGCCACGGGGTGACCAAAAGCCACCAGGGCCACCAAAAGCCACCAGGGCCACCAGGGGCCACCAAGGACCAACCCAGAAGAAGCCACGGGGCCACCAAAGGGAGCTGGGGGCCACCAGGGGCCACCAGGGGCCACCCCAGGAGGAGCCAAGGCCACCACGAGGCCACCAAGGGCCACCCCAGGGGCCACCAAGAGCCACCAGGGCCACCAAAGACCAACCCAGGAGGAGCCACGGGGCCACCAAAGGGAGCCGGGGACCACCAAAGTCACCATTGGGCCACCAAAAGCCACCGGGGCCACCAAGGGCCACCCCAGGAGGAGCCACGGGGCCACCAAAGTCACCACGGGGACACCAGGGGCCACCAGGGGCCACCCCAGGGGCCACCAAGAGCCACCAGGGCCACCAAAGACCAACCCAGGAGAAGCCACGGGGCCACCAAAGGGAGCCGGGGGCTACCAGGGGGCACCAGGGGCCACCCCAGGGCCACCAGGGGCCACCAGGGGCCACCACGGGGCCACCAAAGGGGGCCAGGGGCCACCAAAGTCACCATGGGGCCACCAAAAGCCACCGGGGCCACCAAGGGCCACCCCAGGAGGAGCCACAGGGCCACCAAAGGGAGCCGGGGGCCACCAGGGGCCACCACGAGGCCACCAAGGGCCACCCCAGGGGCCACCAGGGGCCACCACGGGGCCACCAAGGGGAGCCGGGGGCCACCAGGGGCCACCATGAGGCCACCAAGTGGAGCCGGGGGCCACCAGGGGCCACCACGAGGCCACCAAGGGCCACCCCAGGGCCACCACGGGGCCACCAAAGGGAGCCGGGGGCCACCAAAGTCACCATGGGGCCACCAAGAGCCACCCCAGGGGCCACCAAGAGCCACCAGGACCACCAGGGGCCACCACGAGGCCACCAAGGACACCCCAGGGGCCACCAAGGGGCCCAAGGGGCTCCTGGCCACGCCCCTTCCTGGCCACGCCCACAAGGGCGCGGTCCAGGCCACGCCCACTCAGGCCACGCCCCTTCCCGAGGCCACGCCCACCACGCGCGATGGGATTCGCCGGGAGCCTCGGTGAGAGCGGGACCCCAAAAAACCCCAAAAATACCCCAAAAATACCCCAAAAACCGCCCCGGGAACCCCCGAAAACCCAAAAATACCCAAAAATTACCCTAAAAAACCCCAAAATCCGACCCGGGACCCCTAAAAGCCCCAAAAAAACCCCAAAACCGCTCCGGGAACCCCCGAAAACCCAAAAATACACAAAAATTACCCTAAAAACCCCCAAAATACGACCCGGGACCCCAAAAAGCCCCAAAAAAACCCCAAAAACCGCCCCGGGAACCCCCGAAAACCCAAAAATACACAAAAATTCCCCTAAAAAACCNCGACCCGGGACCCCAAAAAGCCCCAAAAAAACCCCAAAAACCGCCCCGGGAACCCCCGAAAACCCAAAAATACACAAAAATTCCAAAAAAAAACCCCAAAATACGACCCGGGAGCCCAAAATTCCCAAAAAAGACCCCAAAAACCGCCCCGGGAACCCCCGAAAACCCAAAAATACCCAAAATTCCCCTAAAAAACCCCAAAATACGACCCGGGAGCCCAAAATTCCCAAAAAAGACCCCAAAAACTGCCCCGGGAACCCCCGAAAACCCAAAAATACCCAAAATTCCCCTAAAAAACCCCAAAATACGACCCGGGAGCCCAAAATTCCCCAAAAAAACCCCCAAAATCCGACCCGGGACCCCGAAATCCCCCCAAAATACCCCCAAAACCGCCCCGGGAACCCCCGAAAACCCGAAAATACCCAAAAAAATCCCCTAAAAAACCCCAAAATCCGACCCGGGAGCCCAAAATTCCCCCAAAAAAACCCCAAAATCCGACCCGGGACCCCGAAATCCAACCAAAAAACCTCAAAATCGCTCAAAACCCGATCCGGGACCCCCAAAATCCCCCCCAAAAAACCCAAAATACCCCAAAAACCGTCTCGGGAAGCCCTGAAAACCCCAAAATACCCCAAAAATCATCAAAAAATGCCCAAAGTGCCCCAAAATCCCCCCAAAACAGCCCCGAGACACCCCAAAACCTCGCAAATCCCCAAAATTCCCCAAAATATCCTTAAGCACCCCAAAAACCGCCCCGGACTCCCCAGAACACCCCCAAATACCTTAAAAATCCCAAAAAAACCCAAAACCTCCCAAAAATCTTCCGTGGATGTCCCAAAATCCTCTAAAAATCCCAGAATTTCCCCAAAATCTCCCCAAAAACTGCCCGGGACACCCCAAAATCCGCACGGGATTGGGACTCCCCCAGAAAAATCCCAAAGACCCCAAAAAACCCCAAAAACCGCCCCGGGACCCCCCCAAAAACCCAAAAACTCCCAAAATCGGGAAAAAACTCCAAAAGTTCCCTATAAAAACCAAAAATCCGCTAAAAAACCCCAAAACACCCCAAAATCCACTCGGGACGGGACCCCCCCTCAAAAAAATCCCAAAATTCCCCGAAAAACCCTAAAAAACCCCAAAAAACCCCCAAAACCTCCCAAAAATCTCCCCCAAAATACCCCAAAACCTCCCCAAAAATCCAAAAATCTGCCCCCAAAAAACCCAAAACTTCTCAAAAACCCCAAAAAAACCCCAAAACCCATCCCGGAACCCCTCCCCTCCCGCCACTTCCGTGCCTCAGTTTCCCCAAATTTGAGGAGGGGTCCCCGAAATTCCTACCCCCCAAATCCCCTCCCCCACCCCCCCGACCCC